GGCATGCAACCGGCAGGCATGCAAGGAGGCGGAGGCATGCAACCGGCAGGCATGCAAGGAGGCGGAGGCATGCAACCGGCAGGCATGCAAGGAGGTGGAGGCATGCAACCGGCAGGCATGCAAGGGGGAGGTGGTATGCAACCAGCAGGCATGCAAGGAGGCAGCAGCAGTGGTGGCAGCATGCAAGGGGCAGTCAAGCAAGGTGGAGGCCAGCCTAGCAGTTTTAGCCCTGGCCAAAGTCAAGTTACACCACAGGATCAAGAAAAGGCCGCTTTGATCATGCAGGTTCTTCAACTCACTGCAGATCAGATTGCTATGCTGCCTCCTGAGCAGAGGCAGAGTATTCTCATCTTAAAGGAACAAATCCAGAAGTCAACAGGAGCGTCTTGAAAGGCTTTAGAAAGTACTTGGCAGTAGTCTCAAAGTTGATTTATGTATCATAGAGCATGGGTGCAAAAAAGCTGTCTTCTGTATGCCCTTACAAGTTTTACCTTTAAGCTTAATCTCACTTTCTGGGGGTCCTTTGTTTTACTTTTCCCCCCTTAATTGGTGGTAGAATGCACCTGTTAGTCACTGTAAATATGCAAAAATAACACCAAATAATAGGAATGGGCAGCAATATAAAAAATGGCTACAGTATGTTAATTACACTTAAATGCTGGATGGAACTGAAAACTACACAAAGGCTAAAAGGTGACTAGTTAAAGTGCTTATGTACTAAGTTCAAAAGTTTACTGGTTGTGTAATAAAATGAGAGAAAATCTTTTGGTGGTTTGGACCCATCAGTTATATCTACGGGAGAAAGATGTGGCAGTCTGCTTCCGTAATTATTTACATACAGCCTTAGAAACCCTGTGGGTAGTTCTCTACCCTAAAGGGTTACTCTGAGTAAAAATTAGCTCGAGGGTAATAGGTTTGACTTCTTGGTTAAAGTTACCTCATAATTTTGTGCTACATCTATGGTTTTTGTAAGCCCTTTTAAATATGTAATCTTGGGATAGTTCCTGTGTTATGTTAAGCACTGTTTTAAGGTTTAGAAGTTTTGAAATGCTATTGCTAGCAGTAATCAAAGTCTTGGAATTGTGTTTTGAAGCTAATGCTATCTGAAAAATCAAGAATGCACTGATTTGATACTGCTTTGTTTAACCCACCCATACTGTTTGGAGTCCTGAGAATTTGTGGGATATTTCCAACCAAGTGATTTAGGTCCACTCTAATTAGACTGAATACTTTCTCAGCATCTTACTCTTTATTGTTTTGATGTTTTGGAATTAATTTTGAAATGTTACTTCTCAGCCCCTTCCTATTACTCAGTAGTCTTTGAGCCTCGAATATGAACCTGGGTCTCTCATATCCTTCCAAGAACCACTAAAGACTATTGGACCTGGAGAAGTTAGACACAGCGTTGGGCTTCTCATCAGAAGTTGAGGACTTCACTCAGGAGGCTCAGGTTCCTGGTAATGCTCTTCCCTACACAGATGGTCTCATCAGCATTTGACACCTGCTTTAGGTTTCTTATTTTCTACATTACTGTCACCATTTTACCAGAATAACTGAGGCTAAAGTAGATTAGAGGTATTTTTTTAGCCCAGATTTTCTGCTCAGTTGGCCTTTTGTTGCCTTGACAAGTAATAAAGCTATTTAGTTTGAAGATAATACCACCCATAAGATCATACCTAGAAATCAATAATGAGGTGGAATATATCATAGTTTTAGAGTTAATATGTTTATAGTCTTAGAAGATGTAGACATAGGCAAATTTATATCAGAACAAGTATTAATTAAAGAACCATAAACTCCCTAGATTGAACCTTCTCTAGAGAAGAAAACCAGTATCTAGTTAGGGGGAGAAAAATACCAGTTAATAGAATTGGGAGTTAGAAGTCGCTTACACACACACACACACACACACACTCTCACTCACTCACTCACTCACACTTTGCAAGGTTTTTGAATCTTTACAAAGTTTTTCATCCCTGTGCTGCTGTTTTCTGTTACTCGTTCTTTTCTCCCATTTGGTAGATACTGTTTAACTTTTCCTTGTTTTCAATATGCTTCTCCAACATTCTGTGATAATTGTTCTGGTTAATACCAATTCACAATATTCCCTTGACTATGTAGAAATTAGTTACTTTCCTCCAAAGGTTTGCCTGAAGCTGAAAACTGAATTGTTAGCTTTTTTTGTTGTAGTTAAAGCTCTGCTTTCTTTAATTCTGATGAAATAAAAGTATAGTTAATACTGACTTTGGCTACTTGTTTTTAATAAACATACAGAATTCATTTCTCGAGAAACAATTATTGGTAAAAAAAACCAAACAAATGATCTAATAAAACTAACAGCAGGAATAAATAGAAAATCTCTTAAGATCTATTACCTAGACAGTTCCACAACTGAAATAGCTATAAATATGTTATCACATGGGTAAGGACAGCAACATTTTGGAGATACTCAGATAATGACATTTTCGTCTGTACCTAGTCAGCACAGAGCTCTTGGGGTTCCAGAAACAACTTAACATGCATGCACCTACATTACTGAGAGCACTTCTTGATGTATTTCAGTGACTACATTTACTCTTAACTCCCTGCTCCAACTTTTAAAAGACCAAGACTCTGAAGATAGGAAGTACCTTACTTATCTCTCTCTCTAGGAGGTAGTTTAAAGCCACAGGTGGAAAAGAAGGATGAAGCCCAAGACTTAGTAGAGGGGAAATAGAAGCTTTTTCCAAGATTCAACTCCAAACAAATGAGCTACAACAGCTGTTTTCAATAGAAAAATGAGAGGTAATAGAAGAAATGACCATCCTAATAAGCTTAATTAAAGAAATGGGTTTGTTCACATTTAATTCACAGAATGTCCCAGTATTGTACAGTTGTGAATAGGCATTTTAAGTCTACCACACAGTAATGGTTAACCTTAGCTTGCACTTTCCCAAAATACAGGTAGGCTACATTCAGAATAAAATTCACACAGAAGGGTGAAACATTGAGATGCCCTCCAGGACTTGTTCTCATTGTTGATAATTCCTTAGGCTTATCAAAAGGATACTGTCAGTGCCTGCCAATCAGCTCTTTAGTTATATCGTATTACTGCCAATAAGGAGCTCTGTTGGTGTAGTCCTTGAGTTGTGCTGCGAATCCAAAGGTAACACCTCTCTTGAGGTTCAGATTTCATCCATTCCTCAGGAGAACAAAAAAAAAATTTCCTCCCATGTGATTTTGCAGCCTCCCCAAAATCACTGGCGTGGTCAGCTATGAGTCAGTTCCAACTTGATAGCAATGAGTCTTGAGGGTTTAAAAAAAAAATTTAGTGGGGCAATGAGTTTTTTTGTGTTCTAAAGTCTACTGATTTTCTAAGACTTCCAGTTCTGCAGTGCTTAATGTGCTAACATGCCAGTGTAAATCACTGCCAAAGTGAAATTGTATGTACTTTTCAACTATATTTTTCAGAATTCTAATAGGAAAGGGAGCTATGGTGGCCTGATGGCCTAGTGGCAAGAAGCTGCACTGCAATCCACCCACTGTTCGCAGGAGAAGGAAGGGCAATCTCCAGATTGATTTACTGTCTCTGAAAACCAACTGGAGGGTCAGCTATGGGTCTGTTTCTACTCAACAGCACACAACAACAATGCCATTATTAATATATAATGAAGATAATAGGTTCCATGGAATATTTATTATATCAATGTATAATGTTTTATATATTTACATGATCTTTCAATATTTTCATTTGCTCTTATACAAAAATTCTTGGTTGAAAATTTCAACTTCACAAATGTTTATATTACGAATTATATTTTTTAAATTGATATTTTAATGAAAATTGATAACTAGTATTTCCATTCATTGTTGCACATTTTTCTCCCTGCCCCCCCCCCCCAGTTTGAACATTTCTTCATGTATTTGTTTGCCTTCAATGTCAAGAAGACAAAAATTCTCACCACGGGACCAATCGGTAGCATCAGGATGGATGGCGAAGAGATTGAGAGTGTTCACAGCTTCAGTTTGCTCAGCTCCACGGTCAACACTCTTGGCACCAGTAGCCACGAAATAAAAAAACGTATTGCAATGGGAAAGTCTGCGGTTAGGGACCTCTCTAAAGTACTCGAGCAACGGTGCCTCTCTGGAGACTAAGGTGCTCCTGATACAGGCCATGGTCTTTGCAATCACTTGTTATGCATCAGAGAGTTGGACAATGACTAGGGAGGATAGAAAGAGAATTGATGCCTTTGAGCTGTGGTGCTGTAGAAGAGTATTGAATGTACCATGGACTGCCAAGAAAACAAACAGATTCATCCTAGAGAGGGTTAAACCAGGCTGCTCCTTGGAGGCAAGGATTCTGGGGCTTCGCCTGACATACTCTGGACATGTAGCAAGGAAAGACAAGTCCTTAGAGAGGGACATCATGCTAGGTAGAGTAGAGGGACAGCGCAGGAGGGGAAGACTATGAGGTGGATTGATTCAGTGACTGGGGTAATCGGGATGGGTGTGTCAGAAACAATGAGATTGGCACAGGATAGAGCACAGTTTAGGGCTGTTGTACATAGGGTCGCTATGAGTCGCAAATGACTCGACAGCACATAACAACAATTTGCCATATGAATGTCTTCTTGGGTGAAGTGTGTTTATATCCTGTGCCCATTATGCAATTGGGTTGTTTATCTTGTTGATATATCCCTTATCAGACATGTTACTACTAAATACTGTTTCCCAGAGTGTGGCTTCCCTTTTTACCCTGTTGAAGTTTTTGGATGTGCACAGGAATTTGATTCTTAGAAAGTCTCATTCATCTATTTTATTCTCTCCTGGTTGTAGATTTTTCAGGATGCTTGGAAGACTTTTTGCTGTGGATTAGGATATCTAGAGTTCAAGGTTTTCTTTAATGAAGTTTATAGTCCTTGGTTTTGTCCTAGGTCCATGATCCACCTTGAGTTTGTTTTTGTGTATGGAGTGAGGTGAGAATCTAAAACTCCATCTATTTTTAAACACAGAGGAAAAGCAGTAATTAAACTTCAAGGATTACCACCTGACTTTATTAGGTTTATCAAAGATTTGTCTTATAGAAACTTTAAGTATCTTTGGACAAGGAACATCAAAATGGTAGCCTGTGGGCCAGTTAAGCCTGCAACAGTGTTTCGTTTGGCCAACTAAAATTTTCAAGTTGGTGTTCCATTCTGAATGTTTATTTAGTGTGCAAATACCCTTCAATTCTGCCCTAAGTGCAACCGTAACTCCTATGATCTTCCGTGCCACAGCGTGCCATAGAGTTTGTAATTCCTGATGTAATTCAGTTGAAATTATTGTCTAATTATACAAATGTCAAGTAGAAAAAACTTTGTTTAGCAAGTGGCTAAGCATTTCTGCAAACAAAACTAAACAGAAATATGTTT